AGACTATAGTTCCATTGTTATGTCCTTACACCTTATGTCAAGATAACACTTTTTTTAAAAGTATACCTTCTGAGAACTTTAAATGATGAAAAAGTCTCAAAGATGTCCTTTAGCTAGTTATCCTCTATATTCAATATTTTTTATAGTATGCTACTTTTTATGATTGTTGTTGTTGTTGTTGTTGTTAGGTGCTCCAATGAGTCATAACAATCCTATGATAAACAGATGTAAATGGTGCCCTATCTTGTTCCATCCTCACCATCTTTGATATACTCGAGACCTTTTTTACTGTCACTGTGTCTGTCCATTTTGTTGAGGTCTTCCTCTCTTTCTCTGACCCTCTGCTTTTCCCAGAAAGATGTCCTTTTCTGAGGACTGAAGCCTTTGACAAATCCAAAGTATGTGACATGCACTTTCACCCCCTTTGCCACTGAAGAGAGACTATCCAGTACTCTTCTGCAATACCTAAATTCAAAGGTATTGTTTCTTTTTGTGTCATTCTTATAAATTGTAGAACTTTCAGGTTCTTAGGATATAATAGAAGAAAGCATGGCATGCCTTAGGTGTACCTTTGTCTATAAATTGGTATCTTTGCTCTTGAAAATTATCAGTTTGATCTTTACAAATCTAAAGGAAAATCACTATGATAGATGAGTTGTTGAAAAGATGTGTGTGAGTGGGGTGTGGGATGTGTGTGTGTGTGTGTGTGTGTGTGTGTGTGTGTGTGAAGGAATGGAAAATATCCAATTCAGATTTGAAAAGAGAGGGTAATGGTAGACATAGATCAGTAGTGATTGATTATATAGAACCATATAAATATCGCATGAAACACAATGTGAATGAAGCACAATGTACATGAAAGAAACACAATATATACAAATCTTGTATGCAAACCAATATAAAATAAAATTTTAAAAAACTAAATTGACCAATATTCTTCTATAATTTGTTTTCTGTTATTAATATTTAATATTTAAAATTTTTACTTGGGATTTTTTAATGTAAATAATGAAACATTATCACACTATCTTTAGCTCAAATCATAATTATCACCTCATTTAACTATAATCTTTAACATACAAAGAATGTGAGAAAAAATTTTGGTTTTTCTCCAGAAATATTGTTTCCATTGATTTGTTGCTTAGTCATTGCACCAATTACCAGCAGTTTGTTTAGTGTGCTCCTGTAATATGCAACCGAACTTATTAGTGGAAGTACATACCTATTATTTTTTAAGAAATTACACTGCCAAAGCACAGGTACACGGTGTCAGTTTACCAGTTGCTCTATAAGATTAGAATGACCATTCTCCTTCTATGTAATTGACAGTCTCTGAGAACCCACTGAAGAATAAGTTATAGATTGGTTCTGACTCAGTAGTACACAATGACAACAACATATAAAAATGCATAACTATAAAATTTAAAACATTAAACTATGACAATGGGATTTTCTTTTTTTTCTTTTTTTTTGCGAATACTTGCATTTTATTAAACTTTTTAAAAAAATTAAAACTATAGAAAAAAATTGGAACAAATAAGAGAATGAAAAAATGATTAAGGAGATGAGCATAGTAATGAGTGGCATACGTGGCTGTCAGAGACAATGGGATTTTCATTGCAATAATTTTAACTGCTTTCATCAGGATTACAACAGATCATGGACAGAGAATGGGGAAAATTAAGACAGAATTCAAAATCGTAACAATGAAAAGACTTACTGTTTCGATAGACTAGTTCTACCTCAAAGTTTGGTGCCTTATGTGGTAGTTATTATTAAGTATTACCTACAATTCACAATTATCTTTTGAACAACAGTTGGAAACTTTACCCTTATTCTATTCCGTCCTCACCATCTCCACTGTGCTTAAGTTCTTTGTGTAAGTCACTATGTAAATTCTTCTTGTTGTGGAACTTCCTCCATTTTGTTGATCCTCATAATCCTGGAAGTGAACACACTTTGAAGATCAATTTTCAACTGAACCATGTTGAGTTTCGGTGAGTAGTAAGTTGATAAGCCAAAGGGATGCTTTGACTCCAATGGCAGATCAATGATGAAAAGAGGGACAGTTTGATTCAACTCTGATTTAAACTCTCAGAAACCCAATGCCACTTTGATTTATACTCTCAGAAACCCAAAGAAGTGTCACAATTGTTTGAAGTTGACTATATGACAGTAAGTCAGAGGGCTTTTTTGTTTTGTTTTTTCTTCTAATTGTTGTATATACATAATATGTATACATTTTGTTTCATGAACGTAAATTGTGCTTTACACAATCTTTAATTGACATTATAGTTCATAAAAGTTTGAGTTTTTAATATATAGATCTATAAAAGGAATAATATCGTCAAGAAGGAATATACTGCTCAGTACAATCAACCATATAAAAGCAAGTAAAAATATTCCCTTAAATAAAACTGTCAGAAGCCAGGAAGAGGAAGAATAAATGGATAAAGGAAATAAGAACCCAAAGGAAGAAATTAAAAATACTGTTAAACAGAGAGGATGGAAAGCAAACAAAATAAACTAAATGTGTACATACTGTTGAGTAGAATACTTTGCTATATATGTTCAGCCAAATGACTATAAATAAAGGGAGACAACCATAATATGTTGAATGAAAATGGTGTCACAAAATTTTTTTAAATTAATGTTTCAGTAGAATAATTTCTGACTTTATTATAATAATTTCATTTTTATTTTTGTGTCATTTTCTGTCCACCTTAGTTTTAATAATATTAAGTTATTTATTTTAGAAAAGTAGACGAGTTTCATGCAAACTCCATTTTCTTAGATAAAACAGAGAAAAAAAATTAATGATATTTAACTTATGTTGCACCAAACTATTAACAGTATACATGATTCTATTGCTGTTCTTCTTGTCCCTAAAGGTTCTGTCCCCTTACTGTCTGTGCATGGCTGGCTGCCAAGACTAATTATATTGAAGTTTCTTTAGTGGCTTTCAATAATGACTCATTAAGGACTCTTATCTGTACACTCTATTATCTCCTGTTAAAAAGGCAATACATAAAACAACTAGTTTTAGCACTAATGCTAAATATGCATCTCTCATCTCTATTTGATAACTTATTCACAGCATTCTTAGATTTTAACAACAATACCAACTTAATCTAAATACTTTCTTCCTTCTTCTTGAAAAATTATTTTATGGTTGTAAAAGTACTCTAGCTTTATACAGGGTCCTTTCAGGTTGACTGTGTTTCCTTGCGCAAACAGCATTCATACTTATATCTTGTTATAAACATCTGAAAATAAACTGCAACTAATGCCATGAAGCACTTCCTGCTGTAAGGGTAAGTATTAAAATGCTTGTGACTTGAGGTTTTGGTTTTGCTTTGTGTTTTTTACTCTCTGCCTTATAGTGGCAAGATGGAGGAAGGCAATCAAGAATTTCATGAAAATTCAGAAAATGAAATATTAGACTTAAATATTTCAAATATAAATATAAACTGTGTCTATTAAACCAGACATCCAGGTAAATGTGTACCAACAATGGATTAGGATTAGGATATGGCATTTCAGTGACAAATTTCATGGCAATATTTCACATACATTTTTCCTGGCTGCACTTTGGTTTTTCTCATTTTTAATAACTTTGAATATATTCCACTATATCAAACAGGATTATATCTGTTTTATGTAAAATATACTTAGAACAGTGCTTGGAACACAGTAAAAGACATTATATATATATTCTTACTGTAAACCAAATAAAATTAAGATGTTAGTGTAATAAGGAAAAATAATGCCTAAGACAATTATCGTAAAATTAGAAGGATTACTATTAAGATGTGTGTTTTCCAAAGGTGAAAGGAGAGAGAAGGGCCAAATTGGGGAGAGGAAAAAATCAAGAGGTCTCAGAGTTTGGCGGACAGAAGAAGGGGGTGAACGAATTAGGAAAGATCCAGTGGGGACCTGAAAAGGTGGGGTAATAGTGAGCCTGGATCCAAGTTGATTAATTTAAGAAAACACTGTGTATAAGAATAATTGTATGAAACACAAAGTGAATAAAGAAATGTGTGAAAAACAATGTATATAAATAGAACACTATACTAATTTATATATGCAAACTAATATAAAATATTTTTAAAAAATATATGATTGACAATTTTAAGACTTACAAAGTAAAGGTAAAATAGTTAACAGGTGGAGAATGAAGGGAAAAATTAGTAAATACACACAAAGACTGTGCATTTAAAGGAACACAGAAAGAAGGATATGCATATAGTTTCAGAGTTAAGAAACCCCTCAATTAAACCATGATTTAATTCGGAGGCCCTCCAGTGGCCTAGTGGACAAGGAATTGTGCTACCAACCCAAAGGCAGGTGGCTCAAATCCACAAAATGCTCTTCAGAGGAAAAATGGGCAATCTCATCCTGTGTGATTAACATCCTATGAAAATTCTCTAGAAGAAGAGCTATGAATAAATTTCAATTTGACCACAAGTTGGTTAGCTGTAATTTTGGACCCTGCAATAGTATGTAAATGTGCCATTCTAAATCAAGATAATTGAATGCAAGAAAGAATATTTGTTTTTCTTCCATAAGGTATTTGTTCAACATTTTCTCAAAATGCAACAAGACAGTGTAGCAAAGCCATTCTGTTGAACAACAGTAATTTAAAGAGTAGGCATAAGATATGGGTTTAGAAGACAAAAGGAGATACACGTAGATACAAACTAGATGTTTAAAAGTCAAAGTACACAAAAAAAGGTGTAGAATTTTAAACTTAATGATCATGTAGTTAAAACAATTAAGAAAGAAAAGTTAAACTATACTTAAATAATAACAATGGATTTTTAAAAATTCCATTATCCTATTCTGCACAAATAAATTAAGAACAGTTCACAACAACATATATTCTATGTCTCAACAAATACAACTCATTCTTGTTTGATAAGATTAATGTTACTGAGGTAAGCAGTTCAATTCTCTCTGACATTCACATATAGGTGTGGCTAAAAGCCTGAAGTTCAGTAATGAGAAACCGCACAGCAATAACAACATTCATTCTTCTTGGACTAACAGAAGATCCTCAGCTACAGGTTTTGATTTTCATTTTTCTACTTACCACCTATATGTTGAGTGTGACTGGAAATTTGACCATCATTACACTCACCTTGGTAGATTCTCATCTTAAAACTCCTATGTATTTTTTCCTTCAAAATTTCTCTTTCCTGGAGATCTCTTTTACAACTGCTTGTGTTCCAAGATTTTTGTATAGTATATCTTCTGGAGACAGAACAATTACCTACAATGCCTGTGCCTGTCAAATATTTTTTACTGATCTCTTTGGGGTAACTGAATTTTTTCTTTTGGCAACCATGTCTTATGATCGATATGTGGCAATCTGCAAACCCTTGCATTACATGACCATCATAAGCAACAAAGTATGCAAGACAATGGTTATTTGTTGTTGGATGGCATCATTAATGATTATCCTCCCACCACTCAGCATGGGTTTGAATCTAGAATTTTGTGACTCCAATATAATTGATCATTTTGGTTGTGATGCATCCCCTATATTAAAAATCTCGTGTTCAGACACATGGTTAATTGAGCAGATGGTTATAGCCTGTGCAGTATTGACTTTCATCCTCACTCTGATATGTGTAGTTCTCTCCTACATATATATCATAAGGACAATTCTAAAATTTCCTTCTGTCCAACAAAGGAAAAAGGCCTTTTCCACTTGTTCTTCCCACATGATTGTAGTTTCTATTACGTATGGCAGTTGTATCTTCATCTATATCAAGCCATCTGCAAAAGATGAAGTAGAGATTAATAAAGGGGTATCATTGCTCATTTCATCCATATCACCAATGCTGAATCCTTTCATATATACCTTAAGGAATAAGCAAGTTAAACAGGCCTTTCAAGACTCACTGAAAAAAATTGCATTTTTCTCTCAGAAATAAAAAATACTCAAGGAAAAATAACATGTGAATATATATGTAAATTATATTTTCATAAAAGTGATGAATATTTCTAATTATTTAAACAGCAGGGTAATGAAGTAATCTTACAGTTATTTAAGCATTAATTTCTCCATCAATTCATTATTGTGCAAGTAATCATTTAACAATGTTCTGTGTAAAATAAAATATATCACTTTTAATCAGTAATGTTCAGGTTAAATAATTTATGTCTATTTTCTGGTGATTTTCAAAATTTTTTTATGAATACAAGCAAATAATTCTTAAGCAAGACAGTTTCTGCCCCATTTTTTTAACAGAATGACATATTTAAGTAGCAAACTTCTAAAAATCTAAAATAATATGACAAACATGAATGAAAATTATTTAAAGAATATAATCAAAGCAATAGGTTTGTAATACAGTTATGAGAAAGAATTAATGACATTGTTTAACAAGCTCTTGTAAGCCAACTGAAAAAGTAAATAATTCATAAACAGCAAGAAAATAAGCTATTTAAATCAACTAAAAGGAATTATTTATAAATATATCAAATATTTATTATACTTATGTAAAATATAAATACTTATATAAATATAATTAATTTATCATGGCAAGAAAAGATACATGAGAAGAAGGTCCTCAACCAGGTGGATTGACACTGACTACTGCAATGGGCACTTTTGTGTCAGGAAGTGTGATGGCGCAGAATAGAACAGCGTTTCCATCCTTTGTTCATAGGGTCACTAGGAGTCGTACTCAATTCGATAACACCTAACAACAACAATAATATAAATAAACCTATCTTTGACCTAGTGGCAAGAACCTGTGGTGCTATCCAGAAGGCATGCAGTTTGAGGCCACCAGCTGTTCCATGAGAGAAGCTGGCAATCAACTGCCTCTAAAAGCCAGTTGGTCAGCTATGGGTTGGTTCAGCATCTATGGTACACAACCAAAACAACAATAATAGCTATGTTTTACATGTTAGAACTAATATAGATTCTGCCCATAATATTTGCACGAAGTAAATATTTGGATGAGGTGAAGATAGCAAGTATAATAGGCAAATTGGAACGTCATGTGATCTGCTTAAAAACTGCAGATATACTTTTTCATCAACAGTTAATATAATCTATCACTTGGAAAAATCTCCATCTAGGATTTTATGGCATATAAATAGTTTCATCAAAATGTATTCAAAGTATATGTTTAATACTAATTATTCCTGGTTTTTGTGTAATAAATGATTGGAAACAAATAAGCATCATTTTGGCGATGTATAATCAGGAAATTATTATACAAGGTGTGTGTGATAATTATTAAATTATATAAACATTGATCTTATCATAAAGTAAAATAGATATATTTAAAAATTAATTTATGTACTAGTACAATAACCATTTAAAAGAAGATAATTATTCATAAATTTTTGAAGTCAGTCAGTCAATCAGTCATTGTTGGAATCATCTCATAGCCAACCCTCCACAAGATTTTCAGAAGCTGTAAATCACATGGGAGGAGATCATGCATCTTTTTCTACAGAGCAGGTAGTGAAACTGAACATCTGTTCTTTGGATTGACTGCACAACACCTCGCCCAGTAGGCTTTGAGAGTTCCCTGATTCATTTATGAAGGTAGGATGAAATATATCTAACCATCCTTTTTCCCGACCAGAAGAGCAAGTTTTATAGTCCATAAAGTTTTATAGCTCATAAAATGTGATCAATTTCATGTAGGTGAATAGATTGGTGTATGCGTCTACATACTTTAAAAAGATAGTTTAAAAAAATAACAATACCATCAATCTCTTTCTTTCATTGTAAAATATGGTGAATAGAATGTGAACTAGTATAAGCACATGGGAAGACAATTTGCTACTTTCTCACAAAACTAAGCTTGGTATTACCACACAAAACAAAAATTATGTTGATTTGAAAACATTTATTAAATTCTTGCATATGAATGTTTACAACAGCTTTAGTCAGAGATACCAAGTATTAGAGGCAATACAATGTCTTTTAATATATAAATTAACAAATAAGATGTGTTATAATTGAACGATGACATAACAATGAGTAATATAAAAATTAAGGCGCTCTAGTGGCATAGTGAATTACGTGTTACAGTATTTGTGGTTGAATCTACTAGTCACTCACAGAAAAATGATGAGCAATCTTCTTTTATGAAGATTTACAGCATTGAAAACTCAGTGGAGGGTCACATATTTGGAATAAACTTGATGGCAGTATTATATAGATACTAGTTATAAAACAATGAAAAGATGCTTATTAATCAGTAGGGGCTATGTGTGTGTGTGGCAGGGCTTTAGCAGGTGATATATACAGGATTTCAGAAGATATTTAAGAAATGGTTGAATCACAGTTGTGGATACATGGCATTATATATTTACCATATCTACATAAATTTATAAAAGTCATCAGTGAATAGGTGATAAAGATTCTGAAATATATTTGTAGCTATGTATAGAACAAACTGTGGCTGATTCTGAGAAGAATGGGAATCCCAGGACTTTTGATTCTGCTTACGCAAAACCTAAACTTGGACCAAGAGACAGACATCAGAACAGAACAAGGGAAGTCTGCATGGTTCAAAAGTGGGAATTGTGTATGCCAGGGATGTGTCCTATCTCCGTAGTTTTTAAATCTGTATGCAGAACAGATCATCCAGAAGGCTGGGCTCTACGAGGAGGAATGTGGCATTAGGATTGGAGGAAGACCCATCAACAACCTGCATTATGGAGATGACACAACCCTGCTTGCTGAAACCGAGGAGGATCTGAAGCACTTGTTGCAGAAGATCGAGGACTGCAGCCTTCAATATGGATTGATGCTCAACATCAACAAGACAAAAATTTTCACCACTGGTTCAATTGGCAGCATTATGATAGGTGGTAAAAAGATTGAGATTGTTAACAGTTTTAGTTCATGTGGCTCCATAATCAACACTCTTGGTACCAAGAGCCAGGAAATTAAAAGATGAATTGTATTGGGAAAGTCTGCTGTCAAGGATCTCTCTGGAGTACTGAAGAGCAACAACATCAGTCTGGAGACTAAGGTGCTTCTGATCCAGGCCATAGTCTTTGCAATTGCTTACTATGTGTCAAAACGATGGACAATGACTAAAAATTATAGAAAGAAAATTAATGATTTTGAGCTATGGTGCTAGAGAAGAGTGTTGAATATATCATGGACTGACAGAAGAAAAAAGTTTCAACGAGGGAGGATGAAACCAGGCTGATCCTTGGAGGCAAAGATCCTGAGGCTTCATCTGACATACTCTGGCCATGTTGCAATAAACGACCAGTCCTTGGAGAGGGACATCATGCTTGGAAGGGTGGAGGGACAGAGAAAGAGAGGAAGACCATTGATAAGACAGATTGAATCAGTGACTTTGGTAATTAGGGTAGGTGTGCCAGAGACAGCAAAGTTAGAACAGGATAGAGCAGGTTTCAGGTCTATTGTACTTAGGGTTGCTATGAATCACAAGCGACTCAATGGCACATAAAAAAAAAACAAAAAAAAAACAAACACAACAGCAATAATACATAAACGGGTGAACTACAAATACATTCTTTTACTCTGTCATCTGATATATCTGATAACAAAAATGCTGTGGTATCAATTAATATGCACACCAAAGACATTATTTCCAATTAAAACACTTGGGAAGGGCATGAAGTAAGAAGTTCCTCAAAAAATTAAATGTAGTGTTGGAATTATATCAAATGGAGAAAAAAGATAACTGGGAAAGGTCATAGCGGTCAAAGATAGAATAATCCCAGCAATAGCATTGCATATTAGTTTATAATTTAAAATATGAAATAAATATTTAAGGGTTCATTCTCTTTATATATAAAGAAATGAATTATATAAAGATTAAAATGTAGTGAATAAATCATTGGTGGAGAAAGAAAACTATAAGGATGAACTATAAATATTTATATATATTATATAGTTTTCATAGAGATAGAGCCCAACTCCTTAAATATAAACTTCTCAAAGTGACTTTTCAGTAGAAACACCAAAGTTTTAAATCAATTCACTCAGATTTCACTCTTTGTTGAGAATTTGTATTTCCACACAAGATATGACATCTAGTAGCTTAACGGTAAGGGATTGTACTCTAGAAATGTCAATCTAATTGGATAATTCAACCCAACATTATGGATATCATCCATGAAGAAAGTAAAACAGCATTATAAACACGGAGAAGAAAGAAAAAAAAAAAAAAACAGAAGGGTTATCTGAAGAGACTAAAAATTGCACTAGAGATCAAGAAGCCAAAGCAAAGGGAAAAGATACCAAAGTAAAAGAACTGAATAGAAGATTTCAAATTATAACTCCAGATGGTAAGCAAAGTACTATAGCAATGTGCAGAGCCTGGACTTAGAGATTAAAAAGGGAAGGACTTGCTCTGCATTTCAAAGCTGAGAGAACTGAAAAACATATTTAGCCTCGAGTAACACTATTGATTGGGTCAAGGACTGCAGCCTTCAATATGGATTGAGGCTCAATATCAAGACAAAGATTCTCACCATTGGACCAATTGGCAGCATCAGGCTGGATGGTGAAGAGATTGAGATTGTTCATAGCTTTAGTCTGCTTGGCTCCACAGTCAGCACTCTCGGCACCTGCAGCCAGGAAATCAAAAGACATATTGCGATGGGAAAGTCTGCTGTTAGGGACCTCTCCAAATACTGAAGAGCAGTGGTGTCTCTCTGGAGACTAAGGTGTGTCTGATACAGACCATGGTCTTTGCGATCACTTGTTATGCATCAGAGAGTAGGACAATGACTAGGAAGGATAGAAGGAGAATTGATGCTTTTGAGCTTTGGTGTTGGAGAAGAGTACTGAGTGTACTATGGACTGCTAAGAAATCAAACAGATTCATCCTGGAAAGGGTTAAACTGGACTGCTCCTTGGAGGCAAGGATTCTGAGGCTACGTCTGACATACTTTGGTCATGTTGTAAGAAGAGACCGGC